CTTTGATTATACCTACATTAAAAAAAAGTTCAGATAATTAATAAACATCACAGAAATTCCTGAGATTCTAAACACAGCAGTAATTCATGTTAACAGAAACTTACTTTTTTTAATTTTAGGGAGAAAAGGCTACTATTAACTGTATCTATAGTTAGCTACAATGTTTAAATTGAATCTGGAGTGACTATCAATTTAACAATTGCCTAGATAGTTGACAACTATTAATCTTCCATTAACTGTACATGCATGCTTTTTGCGATACTACAGGAATGCAGAAATTTGGGTTGCTTTTTTCCAATATCTAAATTATACCTCCTGGTTAAAAAAAAAAAAAGGAATTTTCTTTCTTTTCTCTCAATTAGAGTAATAGGCTAGAACAAACTATTTCAATTAAAAACAAGGAACAGAAACTCGTAAATCAATTCCATTGATTAAAATGGCTCTCTCTTTCAATTTTTCAGCTAAAGTTTTAGTTAATTACTTTATTGATTTAATCTTGCAAGTTGTCACCGTATTTACAAGAAAGCGTTATAGAGAACCGAAGTTATTTTCATGACATGCTAGAACAGGGGTTCTCAAACGTGGCCACTTTTAAGACTTGTGAACTTCAACTCCCAGAATTCCCTAGCTAGCATGGCTGGCTGGGGAATTCTGGGAGTTGAAGTCCACAAGTCTTAAAGTGGCCATGTTTGAGGACCCCTGTGCTAGAATCTTAGCAATCTATGGGTTGGATTAAGAAATAAGCCTACAGCATAGAAAGATGTATTTGATTACTAAAGTGCTGAATGCAGAAAAGAAATGATCAAACAGACATATAGGAAGATTTGCTAGGAAATAGTCTAATAATACCTAATATACAACCGGGAAACAGAGCACTTAGCCAACACAAACAAACAATCCAAAATGTTTGAAATTAAAATTCTATCCGATACTGTTACCGAAAACTAAGTTCTATAGATGTGTATTTCATACAGTACCTTAGATTCTGCAATTTAACTTTAGAACAATATGACAACTTCCATACGATAACAAACTTCTGTATATTTTGTCTAATTAAATAATTTTAGTACAGCCATAGGCAAAACTTGGTATGGTCTCAATAGCTTCACAAATTCTGAAAACTGTTTGTTTACTGAAGCAAATAAGAATTATAATTAAAAACCTATTAATGCTTACACTCATATTATGGTGAGATCCAGTTATATGTATGAAGCCAGAGAAACTTACGGTAATAACTAACCAGGGTAAATTGTATTGATTTCAATGAGTGAAATTTAACATATTTTAAAGCATCAATGGTTAATTTTGCTTGGTTTTGGTAAGGGAAGAAAAATGGAACCACTTTCTGAAGCCTAAATGAGTAGGAGTGAAAGAAAACAACTTGCATTTTACCTAAGTATGCAGAAATGAAAAAGGCTTTTTGAAAACTCAATACTAGGGTTAAAATAGGTGTCTAATTCACTTTTTCCTGTATTGAGTCATTATTTTATTAATAATACAGTTCATATAGATCCCCCATATAATAAAAATCATTTACCTTCGATTTGGTCTAAAAAGGACATATTCTAAAGCATGTGTAGAATTATTTGCGGTGGAGATGAAACTGAAGAGAAGGAAGACAAGGTCAGGTACTCCAAGTATTTGTGTCAGCTGTTTATGGATGATGTGTTCTCTATATGACATTTGTTGCTGAGTATTCCTTCTAAATCTATACCATCCAATAACATTCTGCAATAAAAAAGAGTAATGTTTCATTATTTAGACACAACTGTTCAGTAATATCATGGCCTTTCTAAGGAGTCATTCTAAACTGGGACAGTAGGTGGAGGAACCTATTCCAGAGTAAGGAGGTTGTTACCAAGAAGGCTTGCTTCTGAGCACCCACCCCAACGGAGGAGGGATTATAAGCCTACCCACTCCACAGAAAGTAAAGGGTGGGTGGGAAGATTCTATAGAGATCAGACAGAAATAGGGATTTGAGTCATGGACAGTGTTTGAATTGGACATGTAAACCAAATGCAACCAGTGAGGCCCCTATGTTACTATATCACAGTGGTTCTCAACCTTTTTAATGCCGCGACCCCCAACCGGTCGTAAGTCGAGGACTACTCAACTGGTCGTAAGTCGAGGACTACTCAACAAGTGCAGCACCATTTGCAGAATGGGACTTTTGGCGGGCTCAGCAGGGCAGAGACAGCCTGGACAATTCCTATTGGCTTTTGAAAGCCAATAGAATTAGACTCTATTCAAGAGAGTCTACTCTATTGGCTTTCAAAAGCCAATAGAATAAAAGGGAGTAGCACAGCTAAGGAAAAGGGGAAAAAAATGGCAGACTGCGTTGTTTGGCGACCCCCGTGAAATGGTCATTCGACCCCAAATGGGGTCCCGACCCACAGGTTGAGAACCACTGCTATATCATTTGCTAGATCAGTGTTGTCTGTTCAGAAAGGACCTACTATTTTTAGAAGCTCTACCTTCCAAATCATCCGTGAGGAAAGCCTCATAGTAAGCAAACTACAGTGATCCAACAAAACGCTGAGGGCTTGGATAATTGTTGCTAGAGAAAAGGTTGGAATTGCCACATGAGCCATAGATGGGTAAGGAATCTTAGTGAAATCTTCCATTTGCTGATCCAGCATGAGCTTCTAGTTCACAGCTCTCTACCATGAGCCACACGCAGATATTACATTATCCCACAGCATCCAGATAAAGATTTTAGATCAGTGTTTCTCAACCTTGACAATTTTAAGGCATGTGGCCTTCAACTCCCAGAATTTCACAGCCAGCATTGCTGGCTGTGGAATTCTGGGAGTTGAAGTCCACATGCCTTAAAATTGTCAAGGTTGAGAAACACTGCTTTAAAGGTTCTCATAACTCTACTTTAGAATATGACAGGGCCTACTGAGATGTGACCAGGGCAGCAGCCCTTTTGAGGCTCCCAATCACAAAAGGTGTTTGCTTCCTTAACGATAAATGTTACTAGACAACTCATGATCTGTTGGGTCATCGTTTTAGAGATATTTCCTTACCTAGACAGAGAAAGAGAATGACCATGATTTGACAAAAAATCAGCAAGAACAGGGACAACTTCTGACTTCCTGTCAGCCTCCCCATTGAATTTCCTTATGGGAAGCTGGCACTGAGCATCAGGATCCTTCCTTCCTTCCTTCCTTCCTTCCTTCCTTCCTTCCTTCCTTCCTTCCTGTAGCCTTATTAATTATAACCATCTAGAGCAGTGGTTCTCAACCTTTTTAATGCCGTGACCCCCAACCGGTTGTAAGTTGAGGACTACTCAACCGGTCGTAAGTCGAGGACTACTCAACTGGTGCAGCACCGTTTGCAGAATGGGACTTTTGGTGGGCTCAGCAAGGCAGAGACAGCCTGGACAATTCCTATTCGCTTTTGAAAGCCAATAGAATTAGACTCTATTCAAGAGAGTCTATTCTATTGGCTTTCAAAAGCCAATAGAATAAAAGGGAGTAGCACAGCTAAGAAAAAGGGGGAAAAAAATGACAGACTGCGTTGTTTGGCGACCCCCGTGAAATGGTCGTTCGACCCCAAATGGGGTCCCGACCCACAGGTTGAGAACCACTGATCTAGAGTAAGCTACATCAGTAAGTGATTTGTTCATAAGCTATCGCTGTCTCATTCTTCAGCAATGGAAAAATGGGGAAAAGAAATATATTTTCAAATATGTCACTACTATCATGGGGGGAGGGGGGGGATGAAATTGTGCTATATGTGTTTGCAGTGCTCTTTACATATATTCTGCATAAATATGACCTAAAACAGGGGTGTCAAACTGCCAGCCCGCAGGCTGGTTTCATCATACCTGAGCCGCACCCACCCCATTGCCGGCAATGGCAAAAAAGCCCCGATACGTTGCGCAACATCACATGACATCGCGAGTTTGACATGTCTGACCTAAAATGTGATTTGTTTTCCACACAAGTCCTAAAACTAGATAAAGAGAACTGAACTAAAGAAATGAGTTGGAAAAGTTCACTTATTCACTGAGGAAAATGATCCAAAATTACATATTTGTCTTTATTAGTTTATCTACCACTATTGTATAAGTTTTTTATTATTATTATTAAAAAGTTTTTATTTTCCATTTATTCATACAAAATACAATTAACCATTGGTACCGCCTGCCCACTCCCCCCAGGCCGCGTCCACTCTCTCTAAACCTTCCCTACTTCCCTCCTCTTTCTCTCCTCCCCTCCTACTCTCTTCCCCTCCCCTTCTCCTCTAACCATCCTACTTCCTCCCTACTCCTTCCTCCCCTCTCATCCCTCTCACACACATGAACACAGCATAGGGGAAATGCCCAAGCATTTACCATGACTATATTATCATTACCCACCCACTCACCCACCCACCCACCCTCAACCCTCCCCCCCTCGCTTCCCAGAGCAGAGTACAGGGTTATTAATAAGAAGGTTATTAACTATTGTATGTTGAAATCAGTAAAAACTTTTTATTTGATTTGATGCTGCAGGCAATTTTACTAGTATTCTTTTTGATTGAAATAGACTGTTCATTTGTAATTGAGTTTTAATTTAAAAAAACTTTGAAAATAATTGACTTGTTCCTATGCTTAGATAATTATGTTCTGAAATGGAACCTCTTCAACCTCTCAGATAAAAATCAAAAGAACAATGGTTCATAAATTTCATGACTTTTACTATTTATATGCTAACGTACAGAGTATGGGAAACAAACAAAACGGGCAGTTACTATCAAAGACAAATATGATTTATTAGGTATAATGGCAATCTGGAAGAATGACTCCCATGACTAGAATAAGGTAAAATTAAAGGATACAATTTAATTAGTTGAGGAAACAATAGATGCCACAGAAAAGGAGGAGAAATTGTACAACATATTATCATGCTCTGAGAATCCCAAATGTAGGAAGCATTTGTAATATAATAAGGAAAGGAACAAAAAATGCAATATTATTGTTGATGTCTAATAATCATCTTCCATCCAAACAGATGTGGATCACACCTTCAAAAATCAAACTGCACATTATTCAAAGCGGCAGGAAGCTACAGTGAAAGGAGACTTGAGTTAACATGTGTCTCTACAGTACATGATTCTTACAGGAAATTCCCCATTTGTCCTGCTGATTATTTCCTATTTTACATGTGAATGGAAATCACAAAAGAATCAGCTAACATTGACTTGATACTAACCAATATGACAATAGAAAAGTGTTGCATAATGCTGGAGTTTTTGATTTTAAAATAAAAGTGAGTATATTCAAATATGTATGTTGAGTTTTAAAAAATAAGGTTAATACGTTCGGTCAATGGGAGCCTGGAACAGGAGAGGCTAATAGGAAGAGAGGCTAAAAATGGTTTGGACTTCTTAAGAAGAGATATTAAAAGCACAAATGCAAACAATGCCTGCGGGGAAGAACAAGGTCAGCAGAAGACTCAACTGAAAAAACAAAACAAAGGATACATGCAATAAATGGAAAAAGGCCAGGATCAGATACAAAAAAGTACAGGCAACTACCTCAGAACTGTAAAGCTGGTGTTAGTAATCCCAAAGGTGCTTTTCCAACAGGCAACTGGACTTTGTTTTTTTTCCTTGAAAACATTTTGCTTTCTCATCCAAGAAGCTTCTTCTGTTCATCTGAAGAACTGGTGAGAAGCGAAACATTTTCAAGCAAAAAAATCAAGAGAAAGCACTTTGGGACAACCATGACTTGGATGACTGAGAATCTCCAAAGACACCTGGTGTTAAAGCAGAAGTTCAGAATGAATCAAGTTTAAGGGCAGATGTTTAAAGTAATTTTAAAAAATGGCTTCTGTATAAAAGTTTAAAATAAAAGGCTTAGTATTAGGGTTAAGCCTAACCAACACACACAAGAATCGGTACACCATATCTTTATCTCTGTTTTCAATACATGAGAAACAGAAAATCAGCAAGTTACAGGCCAGTCAAATCTAATACTTAAAAGAATTCCATAGAAGGCAATAAAAAGATCAGCCTGTAAGCAAATTAAAAATGATGAGATGTATTAGAAATGTATGTGGATTTATTGTGAACAAATCTTGCCTTATCATGCTTAATACATAGTACATCTTGACGTCAAAATCTGACTAAATACTACATAGTTAAGTGTGGGCTGGATTGCAAGATAATTAAATCAAAATCATATATTCAATGTATTCAGAAATTGGGAATACGTACTAAGTGCCCAAGGATCAGTCCTAGGTTGCTCTTAATATTATTATTAATGATTTTGATGAAGAACTGGAAGGAATAATTATATTTGCGGGTGATACAAAATGAATCGCTACTACCTTAACCAAAAGAAATAAAATTAGAAATGATCCTGATAAAATAGAGAAATGTGACGAAAGTAATGGATTACATTTTATAACTCTAAATACAAAGTGCTTCACTAGCAATATAATGCGGTTGCTAAAAAAGATAAATGCTATTTAGGCTGTATCAAGAAGTATAGCATCCGTTCACTGGAAGTAATAGTTCTATATTATTCTGCTTCCGTAAATCACCATCTTATGTACTATTTCGGATGCACAACTTTAGGAAGAATTCAGAGAAACTGGAGCAGATTCAGAGAAAGGCAAGAATGATCCTGGAAACTAAAAATTAAGTTATGTGAAGAGAAATTGGGTATATTTTGCCTTAAGAATAGTTGAATGAAAGGGAGATGGCAGCATTCTTCAAATGATTGAAAGGATTTAACAAAGAAGCCCACCTGTGGGGATAGAGAGTAATGGATTTAGGTTACGGGAAAGCAGATCCCAATTAAGTATTAGAAAAAAATGTCCTGGATGTTGTTTAACAGTAAAACCTATTATGAAGACAGGTGGTAGCTTTCCCTCTACTGTACATATTCAAGTAACAACTTAAACAGCCAGAGCTCACTGAAGCTTTAATTCTTTCAGAGCTGGGGGTTGGCATCATAAGGTAGACTAGATCAGGAAATTAATTCCATAGAAAGACTAGACTTACATTTTATTGAATTAGGCCAGTAACAGAATCTTGCAAGTCTGCCTGTTATTGTCTTAATGGCTTCTGGATGGTTACTGCAAGATCATCGCCATCATAGCTCCCTATAGTTGGACTCAACAACTGAAATGGCTCTTTTCAATTTTTGTAACGCTACAATGATTTTATTCATTTATCAGATTTAGATGGTCACCTAACTCAAACAATTGAGATGCTTGGCAGCATATACTGTACTTTCCGGCGTATAAGATGACTTCCGCAAGCGTTAAAATCAGCGCCGAAGTCGGGGGTCGTCTTATATGGCGAGTCGTCTTATACACCAGAAATAACGGTAATTTCCGGTGTATAAGATGACTTTCTAGCCATGCAACTCGGCGCTGAAAATGGGGGTCGTCTTATACGCCGGAATATACTGTAATCCACAACAAGCAAACAATAATGAATCAATATAGTTAAAAGCAGCAGTAAAAATCAATAGGCACTTGGGAAACCCAGTTGACTTTATAGCCTTCCAAAAATTTGACCCCAAGGGAAGGATGTTATAAAAACCTTTCAGAAGAGTTGGAGCCAACTATATATTTTATTTATTAAATTTAGAAACTGCCCATTTCCCTAACAGAGTCTATGGCATATGCATATATGTGTTTCATTTCAGAGGCAGATATTACAGTGAAAATGGCAGGCCTCTTAGGTCCTGCCGGAAGACATTACTTCAAGGAAGGGACCCAAACTATGCCCATCCTAATAGAGATGTGGGAAAACCAGAGATCATGGGGATTGATTTTATGAAAAGTAAATAAAATTGGCTGGAATGAATTCCAAAGATATAATTAGGTCTTTAGTGTGATGCTTAGTTTGCTTATATCACATTATCCTCCCATTTGGGGGGCATTTTTATCTACATTTAACTATGTATGTATCATCCTATAGTTTTTTTTTAAGAGTATACTGGTAATCTTTCAGTTATGACTCTAATGGACCCCACCCAACACAGCTGTCATTTATGATGGTCAAAAAGCAGGTCACCCACATGACTGACCTGATTTAATAGCCTTTTTGGTGGTCATTAAGCAAATGCTATAGTCATTAAGTGAATCAATGCTTCATTATGGGTCAGTTTTGCTGAAAACTGGAAATAAATATCCATTTTTTTGCAAAACCGTGTAAAATATAGTTGTGCGACTGTGGGACACCAAAAGACACCATAAATGTGACCAAATTGTTTAGCGTCCCAAGTGCAGTCACATGATTAAGAAGGGGTAAGGCCACCATCAGAATGTCAAATTTGGGTCATAAGTACCTTTGGGAGGATCTGTCATAACTTCAAATTGTTCCTAAGTGACCAGTTGTAAGTTAAGGACTACCTCTACTGGAATATTTTGGAAATGTTCAACTTAAAGTCACTCCTTCTAAGAGCTACAGAACAATAAATATGACTACAAATGGACCTGAAGACATGTAAGCTTACTTTTCTTCGATTTTTAAGAATCCTGTCCAAATTCTCTTCATTGACTTTGCCTGCATAATCATAAAAACTTAAAAAAAGAAAAGAAAAAGAAAACAGAAGTTTAGATTATACATTTAATCATAGCAAAGTGTTGTGAAGCATAACATACAGATGTGGAAAAAACTATTCCTCACTAATTCTTCTATGTTCCAAGCTGTACAGAGGTTTATGCAATACTTAAAAGGTTGGGGAAGACATGCCCTCATTTAAAACATGCTCTTACTCAGAACATTTGGCAGAATTTCACAGCAATACATATAGTAAACAAATAATGTGTGAAAGAAATGCTCTGATCAAAAAGAAAAATGAACTTATCAGATCAAGCAACTCTTGATACATGTGGAGCACTGGAAAAGATTCCTGCCTCCAATAACTTCTATTCACCTGATACAAATTGTTTCCTGAATCAGAGAAATGTAAGTAGGTATATTTCTAGGAAAAAATCCCAGTTTAATAGAGCATGTTTTTAACAATTTTTCGCTATTTCAGCTTGCAACATATATACACTTAATATGCAAAGCATCATATTAATAATATTATGATTATGGCCTCTATTCAGAGAAATGAAGGATTATTTACTTTACACAACACCTGTTTAATTAATTGAAAATGTCCCAACCAGACAATGTGTTATTCTTCTATTTTTATATACTTCACAGTATAAATAAGGTCTCAGAAAATAATTCATTGGGTATTTCTGAAGGTTTTTTAAATAAGCTTTTTAAAGTAGATGAATTTAGAGATGATTTTTTTATTAATGCAGTGTAATATTGAATAAAAGAACAGATGAAACATCACAATTATACATTCCCTGAATTCATATTATATTTTAGGTTGTATCTTTTTATTAATTAAATAATTATTTTTCAGTTTTTATACCCCATTCTTATGGGCAGGATACAGCACAAGAAAAATTATAAAAACAACCCCCCAAAATAAATAAACAAACCAATCTCACTCCAAATTACAATTAACAGCATTTTGGATTGAATGTCTTTCAAAATAAAACTTCAAAGGTCTTAGTTATTTATTTATATTTACATTTAAAACTTAAAACACCGCCCAACACTACAACATTGAATGGCATACAATAAAACATCATACAATACAGGTTGTTGTTTTTTTTAAAAATAATAATAATCTTAAAACAGTGGAAGGAAAATAACCATTAAGATAATCAAACACACAGATGGAGAAACAGCCTGGTTTTCAGAGAACTTTGAAGCTGGGTTGGGGGCTGAATACATCTTTTGGCATGGTGTTCCAAAGGGCAGGCACTGTAACAGAAATATCTTCTAAGTATCATGAAGAAGGGGCTTTAAGAATCTTTCTGGACGAAGAGTTTCAAAGTGTAGGGGCTTTAAAGTTGCCCTTTAAAGTCAAGGGCAACTACCAATCCTTACAAGCAGTCCAGTAAGGTACCATGATCAATGGTACTGAAGGGCACAAAAAGGGTTAACAGAACCAAGAGAGGTGTCCTTTACCCAGGTCCTGATGAAAGTCATCCACCAGAGAACCAATATCATTTCAATCTCTATCATGAGTCTGAATTCTGATGGCAAGGATCGAGATTTTGCTGGGACTATCTAAAGCTGAGCTGCCACCACTTTCTCAATAATCTTTCTCAATAGCCAAACAGAAGATTGGAAACAGGAAGAAGTTATCAAAAATTGCTGGATCCAGGGCTACTTCAAGTAAGGGATCATAACTGCCTCCTTTTAGATCAGTGGTTCTCAACCTTTTTAATGCCGCGACCCCCAACCGGTCGTAAGTCGAGGACTACTCAACTGGTGCAGCACCGTTTGCAGAATGGGACTTTTGGCGGGCTCAGCAGGGCAGAGACAGCCTGGACAATTCCTATTGGCTTTTGAAAGCCAATAGAATTAGACTCTATTCAAGAGAGTCTATTCTATTGGCTTTCAAAAGCCAATAGAATAAAAGGAAGTAGCACAGCTAAGGAAAAGGGGGGAAAATGGCGGACTGCATTGTTTGGCAACCCCCGTGAAATGGTCGTTCGACCCCAAATGGGGTCCCAACCCACAGGCTGAGAACCACTGCTTTAGATGGGCAATATGACTTCATCCTTCAGAGAACTGTTCACAATTTGTCTGATCCAATAACTCATGCCTGCCTAGCTATATGAAGGAGCCAGGAAGGGCACATATCATATGAAAGCTGATTAAATTCATATTATCCAATTTCTTGGGTATAAAAAGCTTACGAGAATCCAGGTAACTTCAGAAGATTTAGCCCTACTTAGTATATTACAGGGGAGATGGGCAGCATAAAAAATTAATAAATAAAATAAATTAATTGGTAGCTCCTGATCTTTAATAACATATGGAATTGTATTGATAGTTCATTTATATCACACCTATGATAAAGACTCAAAACAAATCATTTTACTCCCACAATAGGAACTCTGAGAAATTGAGAATTAATTACTGGTCCAAAATTATCTACTGAATACTATAGTTGAATGAGCACCTACCGTAGGTCTCCTGAGCTCCATTCAGATGCTTGACCTGCTATGCTACACTGATTCTTAATGTTGGATTTAGCCAACAACAACTGGTAAAGGGGAAAAAAAGTATGTGATAAAAGTAACCTACCTAAACAGTTTGGAACAAGGCTCATGATTATGGATTTCTGGAAAAAGAAAACAACACAATTGTATTACTCTAAGGAGATAGACATGCTCTAAAGATAATTTAAAACATTATGTTCCTAGCCCACATAGATAGTTCCAGGTTCACACAATCAGCAAATACTTCATTTTTCACAGGACATATCAGTCCACATTTATTAATAATTCCTGAGGAACATAACTCTGCAAGTTTGGCAAACTTAATCACTTCTCAGAATGAATGTATTAAGTAAAGACTTCATTGATATTACATGCCCACAATGAGTGGATCGCTATGGAAATAGAACAGTGTTTCTCAACCTTGACAATTTTAAGGCATGTGGACTTCAACTCCCAGAATTCCACAGCCAGCATTGCTGGCTGTGGAATTCTAGGAGTTGAAGTCCACATGCCTTAAAATTGTCAAGGTTGAGAAACACTGAAAAATAGAACATGATTATCTAAAGATAATCAAGTAAAGTAGATTTGTTGCCAAATCTTCAATGCAATTTATTTGCTTTAGGAACTGATTCATATTTTCAAATTATCTGTCAGAATGTCCCACTTAGGGCAGATATGGAGGAGAACCATCTCTGCAAAAGACCACCTCCTGAAGTTGAAAGCACAACTGCTAGGATTATGTGAACTACTAAACCTGCCAATAATAACCAGTAAATTTAAAACAGAACAGGGGTAGGTAGAGACAGAAGAACCACAGTTGCTGAGAAGCTGTTCTTTCCTCCATCAGGAGAGCTAAGCCAGCATTTTATAACTCTAAACCAGTGGTTCTCAACCTTTCTAATGCCGTGACCCCATAATACAGTTCCCCATGTTGTCGTGACCCCCAACCTCTTATACATCACCATGTGCCAGGGGCATGGCCAAAGAAAAGGGGAAAAAATGGCAGACAGCCTTGTTTGGCGACCCCCGTGAAATGGTCGTTCGACCCCAAATGGGGTCCCGACCCACAGGTTGAGAACCATTGCTCTAAACCTTCCATCAAACATGGCCTTTCTGAAAATCTCTTTATAACAACATGACATCTCTTAAATCTGTGTCTCCGAAAATATGGCAAAAACCTTTACAAAATACAAACAATTCCGACTCAATTTTAAACAAAGGTGGATAAGAGAGGCACTGACATTCCTCTGTCTCCCTCCACTTTTGCAGAAAAAGTCAAGATAATCACTTTCAAATTTAATGTTCAATGCACCATGAATCTGTTAACCTGGAATAATTGTCTGTACTTGAGTATACACAGTCATATTCATGACTCTGCATATGTTAAAATCAGAGAACATATAAACTATACTAAGCAAGATAAATCAAATAACACTGCTTGCCTCCTGCCGAAATACTTTCTGGACTCACATTAACTTGATTCTGTAATCAGAGTATCCATAATCAAATTTTTAATTGTGCAAGCCACCTAAAGTCACTTATGCAAGATGAGCAGATATACAAATTGAACAAATAAGCAAGCAAACATGCAATATAATCTAAATAGATACAATATTACATTGTATTGTTAGAGAGAAATTTAATAACACTTACCAATTACTTGAAGAAATTCTGTGTTGCTAATCTGAGAGTCACTAATACTGAATGTCTCCTCTTGTCTTACCTCTCCTAATAAAAATCCTTCCTGTAAAAAGAAAAATATTTTGATTGAAGGTAGAAAAATAAAAGCTGAATTTATTTGTTTTCCCTTATGATGCACTTTTCATAGCTTCACACAATTAAAAATGGCATTTACCTTTGTTTCTCTCAGCAATAGGAATTAATATAAAAGTTAAAAGGCATAAATTGGCAGTCCGAGGTCCATTCCCCTTGGGGTGGACATAATTCAGTCTATCCAAGTATGAGATGATTCTCTAAACCTCACATTCTGAAAAATTAATGGTGCGTGAAACCCCATTATATAACGCTGGCTATAACCTCCAATAGAATCCCAATAGTTTCCAACAGAGTTTAAATATAAAAGAAGTTTGGCACATAGATTTTATTCATTTTTAAAGATATAAAATTTGTACTATTAGTTGTTTGTGGAGCTAAACATCCATGCATAATTTAATGACCCCAATTGCACTTAAAATAAAGAAAAAAATCTACATAGAGATAAAAGCAAGTTTGAAAGTTAGAGGTATTTCTCTTCTTATGTAACCATAAGTTAAAAGACAAACCACACAATGAATACAGGCAAGATCATGGTGAAGCTAACACATACAAGGGTGTAAATGCAAACTTCTATAAATTACTTGCTGCTGGTTTACTTCTGAACAAATAAAGCTAGCATTGCACTCCCAAACTGATATAGCAAGGCCATTTT